TTTTACTAGTCCTGTGGACTAGTGAACTAAAATGGTTAGTGTCTAACCCTGTTGATGCCGGTTTTTTCCAATTCTGCCTGTCGTTGAGTTCTCATAGCTCTTAGAATTTTTCCCTCTTCGCGTTGCATTGGGGTGAGGTCTAGGGCCAAGTGAATCGTCAACTTCTTTTTTGTTGGAAAGTCTAGTTTCTTTAATGCCTGCATTAGTGTAGAGGGATCCCCCTTGTCCTCGAAGGTCGCTTTCATGGGCCGAAAGGCCCCATCCTCGTTTTTTGCCCCGACTCTAATTATTTGTTTAACGTTTGGGACCTCTACCTGTAGTTTATCTGTAATGAATTTGTTAAGCTCCATGGTGTCGTGGCTGACCCTGTCTGCTGGTACCATTTCATCACTCTCCGGGACATTAAATAGCATCAGTGAAGTTTGGCGTCTTTCGCGTTCGTTAAGTTCTCTGATGATTTCAGTTGCAGATGCCGAGTTGTTTTGTAGGAGGTCCACCTTTGTTTCTAGTTCTTTCATTGTACTTTTCATATCAACCTGTGTGGCCATCAGCATTTCTACATTTTCTTCCGTCTTTATCTGTCTTGTTATCATGATTTTGAACATGTCCGATAGTTTTTTTACTCCTCGCCTACACCCTCTGCAGTACCATGCTACCCCTGAATTCCCGTCTCTGATGACCTCGTATGTTGCGTCGGAGACCCCTTCGCACTTGCAGTGGAACCATTGAGCACAGGTGTCGCACTCTATTGCTGCATCATCGTCGCTTACTTTGGAATTGCACCCTGGGCAGTTTCCTTCCTCCACGTCGCCGCACAGGTGGGAAGCTGCATGGTTCTGATTTCTCTGTTGGGGGTATGAGGCACTGCCTTCGGTTACATCCTTACTCTTATTTCTGGTTGAGCTTGCACGATTTTTTGGTGCAGTGGGGGCCATCTTCTTAGCACGGAGATAATCACTAGTTTTTAGTATCAAAATTAGTAATAACTAATACTAATAGTATTAGTATTGCAATAATTGGTTTCGTTTCTAGTACTACTGCTATATTTATTTATTTGAGATTTAATATATTCTTATTAGTGCAATGGACATCACATGACATTGAGGTGCAGTTCCTGCTTTATTTCTACCTATTTCTAGTTACTTCCCGCCTGTCCCTAGTTGTTAATTTTGCTTTACTGTCTGACTGGCTTTCTAATCTTTCTTCATTCCCAGCAGGCCACCCTGGGCAACACAGCAAAACAGAGACACTTAGTAGGCCCGAGTTAGTTATGTTAATGTGAAATGAGACATGTGCGCGTTTCACTTTTATTATACTTCATTAAATATAATTTACCTAAGTTCTAGGTTTACTTTTTGTGATTTTAATTTCCCTTGACCTTGCTTATTAAATAGCTTCAGTCACAGTCACTCTGCGTAAAACACTGTTTCACCAGTGACGCTTAGTAATACCACAAGTGTAAACAAAGAGTGTTCAGAAATTGGCGGGAGATTTACCGCCCGCACCGGCTATAGTTATAGTTTGTCTATAATTAGTTGTATATTATATGTAGCTTAAGAAAACAACTAAATTACCCTGTACTTATTACTTTGTACTCCGTATTAATTTACAGTGTTAGTTCAGTATTATTATATTTAGCTCGACTTATCTTAGAGGTGAATCAGTGGCCGTATCGGTCGCTGTATGTTTGCAGGAGCCCACGAGAAACACGTCCGTACCTGTCGCTAGCAACAACTAAAGTCTAACGCAGCCATGCATGCGTTATTGTTACTATCTTTAATTTTGAACTTGCAGACTGCGGACTCCCTCATTTTGCCACGGACTCCCTCTTTTTGAGGGCAGGGAGTCCGTTGGACTCCCTTGTTCAAAAGTTAATTTCTACCCCTGCATTCTATATAAATTAAATTAAAGGATAACAAACAGAATATAGTTTCTAGACTTTTAATTTAATCACACTGGAGTGAATAAATCATGTTGTTGGTACATTTTGGCTCCTATAGCTGTCTATATACCGGAATAGAGGATCATGTCATTGACTAGCTCTAGTACTATAGCCCGCGTACAGTTGCCGCATGGACACAACCCAACTCAATAACTGTGACTATAATCAACATTATTGCTGGCAGCCTATATTAATATTTCCAGTACCGGTAGTACTAGCTCTAGAACTATAGCCTGCGGCAACTGTACGCGGGCTATAGTATTAGAGCTATAGTTATGGACACAACACAACTCAATAATTGTGACTATAATCAACGTTATTGCTGGCTATATTAATATTTTCAGTACCGGTAGTACTAGCTCTAGAACTATAGCCCTTCGCTCCGCCGCAGCCACAGCCCATGCCTATGGCGGAGCGAAGCACAGGCACTTGAAGCATATCAACTGTAAGCGCACGGCGCCGCCATTGCGCGTACACTAACACATATATATTGAGTTGTACCATATCTTAATATATATGTGTTAGTGTACGCGCAATGGCGGCGCCGTGCGCTTACAGTTGATATGCTTCAAGTGCCTGTGGAGCGAAGGGCTACACTACAGTTGAGTTGGATAGCAAACCTGTCACGATATATAGCCGGCCTACTGTAATCTTGTTGATATATTCTGACTCACGAACAATACATAGAATACTCGGCATGGTCACCTGGACTTATACTAATCCTTAACTTAACTCTTAAGAGGTTACGAGCAACACCTAACGTATGAACGGAAACAAATGTATACGTACGTACTAAATGTAAACAGCAATCAACGTCGAGAACGTGGCCTAATCAATGACATGGTCGCTTACGGTACGCAATAAAGTCTTGTCACAGAAAACTAAGAAGTATATTATTATGAACAAGATCACAATGTAAAATTCAAATTTCTTATATAAAATAAGTTTATAACGCAATAGCAGTCAATTATTATCACTGACTGGTAAACTGTTGAGCATATATAAAGCTAAAATTTATTAAGCGGCCATGGAGTCCAAGGAGATGCGCACACATACACGCACACACGCGCGCGCGCACACACGCACAGATGTTCACGCGCGCATACACTCACACACTGTAAGCACGTACACGCGTACCGAACACACACAGATACCAGAAGCACCCGCACGCACAAACTCACACACACGCACGCGCGCTCACTCACAACTGTAAGCACGTACACACTCAAACAAGTACGTACGCGCATGAACATACACAGAGATACACACATGTAGAAGCACGCGTAAACTCACACACGCGCGTGCGCGCGCTCACTCACACGAGCACGTACGCGCGCACACACACTCACACAAGTACGTACGCGCACGAACACGCACAGATAGACACACGTAGAATCACGCACAAACTCACACACACGCGTGCGCGCGCGCTCACTCACACAAACCGGTACGCGCACGCCCACTGACACATGCACGCCTAAGCACTTGCGCACGCTTGCTCGCTCACACGCACACACACACACGCGCGCGCACGCACGCACGCACGCACGCACACACACACACACACACACACACACACACACACATTATATATTGCTGCAGTGATCTCACTGGTGCTTTGGATATTTCAGTTGAAAATTGCACCGCAATGAAAAGAAATTATTGACTGGCTGACGACAGAAAATTGTAATTTGATCTCATTTCCAACACAATTCACAGACACAATGCAGACAATCAATATTTCAATATCCACGGTAACTAAGTTGCTAGTGCTAAAGTAAGAGGCTATCTGATTTCTGCAATCTGCTTCATTTAGCAATGCGCTGGCGCTGCTGATAAGACACATAATGGGAACAGAAGCCTTATCTTCCCTGCACAGGCATGAAGCTCGCACTCAATCGGCAGCCATGTTTTAGCTACGATGACACTAGGACAAACCAAAGCAAAAATCAAGGGGGTGCTATTGAACTGGAAGGTTTGCCAGTAGAAATGTAGGAGTCTGGGAGGGGAACACCTGGGCTGGCTAATACTACAAGCAGTAATTGAAATCCACAAATATGACCGCCATAGTCAGATCAATCTTCGAACTTTCGTACTACATATTATTGTACACATTACTACATTGTATTCTATGAACCCTGTTATTCTGTTAACATTGGCTAGTATATAAAAACAAAAGCTACACCGACATGCATTGGCTCCTAATAGCAGTTTTTCAATTGGCAGTTAGAAATAGCAAATAGATATAGCTAGATATAAACTACATAAATAGAAAATTATCCAATGATCTAATTAATATTGGTGTTGTATGTAATTTTGCTATATTAAACATGGTGTATTTAAACCACATATATATCTAAGATGGCACTTACCACTTTCCAATCTTGTGGAATAGTTGTAGAGGAAATACAGATTCAGTAAATAGTGGAATCCTGAGCTTGGAGAGAGTGGGAAGAAAAAAAGAGCTGTCAGCGGCCTCCAGATCTGTAAATAGCACACACACACACACTCTACCTTATATTGGGATTGTAAACTTGTCTCACAGCTTGCAAATGCTGACATGAGCCTGGCACAACACATACACAATACTGCATCAATAATAGCACAATAATGGCACAATTTCGGCACTATGCTGTCATATCATCTACAAGTGGTAGATGTAGAAATTCCGAAAGAAATAAGCTCAGAGTGGATTGAAATTGTGTTAGGAGAACTCAACCATTGAATTAAAAAATAGAAGTATGGTTATGATATCTAATGAATTCTATCCACACTTATATATTTTATATTTTAAAGCAATGTATTCTATTACAACCTACACAATAATTTTGCCACACACCAAAAAAAATCTGCCTACATGCAGTAACAACAAGGGGTGTGATTCCTGACCTCATGGACCTCCTAAACCCACCCTTGTCTATACACTCTTAATTTTCATGGGTTGTTGTGCCCACCTGAAACCTGTAAAAGAAAGGTTCCCAAACGAGAAGCATCCAATATGGGTTCAGGATGCCTATCCGACCAAGCAACGGTAGTGCAATAGAGAGTATGAACCACCATCTTGTCACGAACGGAATACTCCGGAACCAGTCACCGATTTCATTGGACATTGCGGAATCTGCTAGCGCGTAGCAACGACTAAGCGTTTTCTGTAAAATTATAACAAATAATGATTAAACTATAGAATGCCTTCATTATTGGTACTATTAGTATTAATAATGAAGGCATTCCAGGGTGCGAAATTAACGGGAGTCTGGAGTCCAATACTCCCTGATTTAACATATGCAGTCCTGAGTCCGTGTGACTCCCTGAAAATTCTTCCATACTATTACTAATTATAGTTCATTCCAGAGCACTGCCTCGCGGAATTACCGTATTTTTTCAGCAAATGTCCAAAGAAAATTTGGCAGACGTGCAACCGCATGAATCTTCAAAATAAGCATAGAATAGAATAGCGGTTTACAGGAATAGGCCCGAGGGCCTGTATCCGGTCTAATTAATACATCAAACCTCAATTTTGTTCATAGTCCCTCGCGATGTTAAATGATTCTAAATTG